CAATTAAGTTGTATTGTTTTGCTACCAAGCTCATACCACTTGAAAGCAAGACTGGGGACTGAAAGTGATACTAACCTCTTCTAGCTAAATTATTTAAATGGTCATGGTTTTCAAAAGATAAAAAAAAACAAAACAAAAAAAATAATTTTGCCACTATATTTGGTAATTTTTTTTCTTGCATGTAAAACATTTTTGTTCCTCTAAGAAAACCTGCTGATTTATTATGGAAGACATTTCCACTACAGGTACTGTACTAAAAAATCACAGTCCCCCTTATAGTTCATAGAAAGAAAATCAAATTCGATTTTAGTGAAGTTTTTATAACAGCTTTTTGGCTAATAATGTTGAAGAATCATGATATATTTAAGAGATATTAATTCTAGTAATAGTCATTTATCTTTGAAGTCCAAGAGAGACAAAGGCTTGGGAAATAGAAGATTTACGGTGACATATTATAGACTCACTTGGTAGATTTTTTTTACTCTTCCTCTGAAACGACAGAGTGAAGCTTTATCAACTTCCTTTTATTAAGGCTAAAAATATAGCCTATAATTGGATCATAAACATTTAATGAAACTCACAGCTGTACTGACTTTTAAAATTAGGAGAGGATGGACAAGTAGTTCATAGAAAAGTAAATCAGCCTTACTCATGCATTAGGAATTGACAACCCTGCTGTTTTAATTTAATATATCTCTGGGCCCGACCTCTCTCCTGAAGTCGAGACACACATTTTCCACTTTCTAAATGAATCTTGATGTATGAAATGAGTTGATTTTCTTCCCAAGAACGTCTAGATATCTGAGACACGTCACTGGAGAAAGCTCAAATTCAAGAAGATAGAAGATGACTGCTCTTCCCTTTATTCTTTCACTGCTTTCTGGGAGAAAATTAAAATTCTATTATCTCTGTCTTAAGTTGGGTTCCCTGTAAACAGACCCTGAAGCAAGGATTCTTGTGGATATAATTAATACTAAGTTTTCCCAGGGGGCTGGGGAAAACATTACTAGAGTAGAGAAATGGTACTAGTACGGTAAGGAGAGTAAGGAGGGATGTGTTATCAAGCAATCTTATGAAGGGTAACTCTGGCTTTGTCCCACAAGAGTAGGTCATAATTCTACTTCATCCTGACCAAGACAAGATAGGTGAAATACATATGCCCTTGCACTTGTCAATCACTGGTTAAGAACTGTGAGTAGGAGATGTAAAATCCCAAGTACTTCTAATAAAATGGAGCAAAGTGAGGTCTTGCAGCGTGTGGCAAACCCTCCGACAGAGACATGGTGCTTACAATTTAAGAGTAAAAATATACATGGAGCCAACATGCATGGGAATCCAAAAAAGACCAAGCAAGTTTGGGTGGTGCAGGGGCTGACTGCTCCAATCTCCACACTGGTGACTGTCTACTAGTAAAATGATTTTGCTGATAACTACCTTTATTCTTTATTAATTTATTAATGCATCTGCTGTCTTCCTTTATTTTCTGGGGTCAACTGCTAACAGGAGAGTGCTTTCTATGGGCCTACGTTGCAGTTCTTTCCACTCTGCCCCACGGCTCAGTGTGAGGCCAGTAGATGTGCATTATTGGTCAGCTCCATGTCATAAAAACTCAAATATGAATATGCCTTCTGCCTGGCTGGCATGGCTCAGTGGTGGAGCGTTGACCTATGAATCAGGTCACAGTTCGATTCCCGGTCAGGGCAGATGCCTGGGTTGCAGGCTCCATCCCAGTGTGGGGTGAGCAGGAGGCAGCCAGTCAATGATTCTCTCTCATCATTGATGTTTCTATCTCTCTCTCCCTCTTCCTTTAACTCTAAAATCAATCAAAATATATATTTTTAAAAAATGAATATGCCTTCATATGAGATGTGTTTTCTCAAGTTACCAGAATCTCCTAACAACATCAGTTACGATTTGATGCAGCTGATATAACAAAAAACAAAGTAATAGTGAATCTCAAAAGATGGTGCCTAGACCAACTGCATCGGCATCACCTGGCAGTCAACAAATAGCATGGTCCTTGTCATCAAGGGCCCAGTCTCATACCACCCCCACAGCAGAAGAGGGCTGCTTTCGCAGCACCCATCGCCTCCCCTTCCAAGCAGCAGGATGGAGGAAGATGCAAGAAAAAAGTTTCAAGGGGCTTCTGCAAGATATTTTACTTTTTTTGTTTTGTTTTGTTTTTGTTCATTCTCACCCAAGGATATTTTTTCCATTGATTTTTTTAATGTTCATAGCATTTTTTTATATTTCAAGAAAAATGATCTTAAATATAATAACATTACAGGCAATAAACATTAATATTTCAAGAAAAAAAAAGGATTTTGAGCATAATAATATTACCAACCCTTCTTAAGAGGACCTTTATGATTACATTGAATCCACCTGGATAATCCAGGATTCCCTCCTCATCAGACTATCGTTAACTTATTCACATCTGCAAAGTCCTGATTATCATATACGGTAACAGTAGCAGTTTCTAGGGATTAGGATGTGGACATCTTTGTAGGGGCCATGATTCAGTTTACCACAGTCTCCTATCTGACCCTCAAAGATTCATGTAAATTCCATATGCAAAATACATTTACTCCATTCCAAAGTCCCCAAAAGGCCAACCCATTACAACAAAATGTCATCTAAATACCACCTCAAATGTCATCATCTAAACCAGGTATGATTAAGATGATGGGTATAGTACATTTGGGGGCAAAATTCCTCTCTGTCTTTGGATCTGCGAATCTAAAAAACAGTTATCTGCTCCCATGATACATGGTGAAGCAGGTTATTGGCAGTTACATTCAAAAATAGAGAAAATGGAAAAAAATAGAAGTAATCAATGAAGGAAAAAAGAGGCCATTTTATATATATACTAGAGTCCCAATGCACAAGCAATTGAGACTGATTATTCATGCCTACGTGCAACCTACTTTATATGCACAACCTTTCTAACTCCCAGAAAGGTTCCTAGAAGGGCTTTTCTTAGCTGTCTCTTTCACTGTTCTATTAAACTTCTGACTACTTTGCAATTTTGCTTGTATTAGAGCTACCAGCCTCTTCTTGATTGATCTCCACCAAGATCTCTGTTGTTCATGACAACACTCTTAGGTAAGAAGTTCTCCACTCTCTGTTCCAAATAAAGATCAATCCTCTCAGGAAAAGTGGCTTATGCCTTCCTCTCTGTGCCTGCTTTATGCCCTGGGAGAAACCCATGTGCCACTACACAGAGCTAGGGTGGGGATGTGCTTTTCCAGACTGATACTTCAATTCTACGAGTAGTCATGGGGGCAAGGGATAGCTGCCCCAGTCTTCTTGAGTTGACCTTCTCAACATGGAATTTCAAACCTGATTATCAGTGATACATAAGAACAGTGCTGAGGGTTATAATCAGAGCTTCAATATTTTTGGTTTCTTGTGATGGGCAGAGCTTCTTCCTTACAAATGGTGGTTGAATGAGTAAGGAAATCCTCTCGTCCATGCCCACTTCTATACCATGGATCTTGAGAAAATAAGAATTTATGATAACCTACTCTTCACAGGAAGATATCGGAGCCTCAGGCAGGAAGCTGAGGATCCAGGGCACTACCTCTTAGATGCACACACTGGAAATGAGTTTACACAACACCAAGGGAATAATGGAGTGAGTCATGGTTCAAATGCTACAGACTCTCATTGTTTTTGCAGAGATATGGTAGATTGTATTGAATGAATGCTTTCCCATTTGCTGTATGCTCTTAGAACAATTTCCCAAGTCTTTCATGAGTGCTTTTCTTAATTTTTACAGTTAATTTTTTGCCAAAGGGAGAGTTCTTATCATTCTGGAAGTCCTACTCTCACACCTCTTTAAACCTCCTTTTCCTCATCTGTAACATGTAGATGATGATAATGGTTGTATAAGGAGATGGTGTATTTTTAGGGGATGGGACATTAAATACTTGAAAAAGTTACCTGCAACCAGAAAAATATATATTCTTCTTCTACTTTATATACTTATCTATAATAATAAAAAGGTAATATGCTAGTTAGACCGGACATCTTCTGGACATCATTCTGGACGTCCTTCCTGACCAAGCTGGGGCCAGAGGAAGCCAGCCCGGGTCCCGGGTGCCTGCCGGCGGCCAGATGAAGAAAGCCCGGGGGTGCCAGCAGCTGGGGGAAGGAAGGCCTACTCTTGCATGAATTTTTGTGCATCGGGCCTCTAGTATATATATAAAAGCCTAAGCTACCATTACAACTGAACAACCAGAACGACTGGAATGACCCGTCGACCAGTCGCTATGATGTGCACTGACCACCAGGGGGCAGACACTCAATGCAGTAGCTGCAGCCTGATGGTCAGTGCGCTCCCACAAGGGGAGTACCATTCAGCCAGAAGTTGGGCTCATGGCTGGTGAACGCAGCTGCCATGATGTCAGGGAGCTTCTCCCTATGCCATAGCAGTGCTAGCAAATGGTGGCAGCAGGTGCATCCCCTGCCTGCGGGGATTGGGCCTAAACTGGCATTCGGACATCCCCAAGGAATCCCAAATTGCGAGAGGGCGCAGGCCAGGCTGAGGGACCCCCCCCCCCGCCGCCACCGCGCACTAATCCATTCAATGTGCCTCTAGTATATTGATAAGACTCCTTAGTTAACACAGAAGTAGCAATGTATTATAGATTAGAAAAAAGTAGGGGATATGATCCTCAAGCTATGGAATATTTCATATGTAGATTCTCAAGTTCTAATTTCAGTTCTGTCATGGACTCCTAATGAAATTTTTGATAGATTATCACACAAAAATTGCTTCATATATAGTCTTGTTCTTTACTTTCAGAGTTGGCCAAATGGTCAGATATGGAACCTACACTAGCGAAGAAATAGATTTCTCATGGGACAATACTCTTTTCTTCATGTGAAATGTAAATAGAAAAGATCAACTTGAAACATCCTTGCCAGGAAATAGCAGTTGGTTGAATATATGCATCAACATTTGTGACATAAAGACAAAATGTTCTACAACAAGAAGGTAGTTCCATCTTTCTTCTTGGAATGCTGAAACTCTATTTGACCCTGGAGGAAACCTGAATGAAAAACAATCAGGTATGTAAAAAAAATGAGATTAGCATTGTAGCTTCTGGTGACTCACTTAGAAGTTGGACTTGCTCAAACTGGTTCTGTCTGTTCCTTTTTCTGCATTAGCCAGCCAGCCAAAAGGTTATCCAAAGTGAGCTGGCTTTGATTTTTCACATGGACTAAACCTGTTAATTTTTTTTAGTTATATGCTAGTAGGTAAAATTACATTCATTTATCTATAATTTCTTCCAAGAACAAATTCTATGTATTTGTAAGTAAAAAAAATCTGAACTGGGGTGAGTTAGAAACACTAACTTAGAACTTCATGATATCAGTTTTGCAAGGCCAGCCTCAAGTGAAAACAACATTCATGATGTTTCCAAGTACCTCAAACACTTATACATTTGAAAATACTTTGCCCATCTGCTGATAGGCATTTAAGCTGTTTCCAAATCTTAGCTATTGTAAATTGTGCTGCTATGAACATAGGGGTGCATATATTCTTTCTGATTGGTGTTTCTAGTTTCTTGAGATATATTTCTAGAAATGAGATTCCTGGGTCAAGTTCCATTTTTAATTTTTTCAGGAGACTCCATACTATTTTCCATAGTGGCTGCACCAGTCTGCATTCCCACCAGCAGTGCATGAGGGTTCCCTTTTCTCCACATCCTCACCAGCACTTGTCGTTTGTTGATTTGTTGATGATAGCCATTCTGACAGGTGTGAGATGGTACCTCATTGTCATTTTGATTTGCATCTCTCGGATGATTGGTGACTTTGAGCATGTTTTCATATGCCTCTTGGCCTCCTGTATGTCCTCTTTCAAAAGGGATCTATTTAGGTCCTTTGCCATTTTTTGATTGAATTGTTTATCTTCCTTTTGTTAAGTTGTATGAGTCCCCTATAAATTTTGGAGATTAAATCCTTATTGAATATAACATTGGCAAATATGTTCTCCCATGCAGTGGGTTTTCTTGTAGTTTTGTTGATGGTTTCTTTTGCTGTGCAGAAGCTTTTAATTTTGATGTAGTCCCATTTTTTATTTTCTCCTTAGTTTCCATTGCCCTGGAGCTGTATTGGTAGAGATATTGCTAAGACATACAGTATGTCTGTTATTTTGCTGCCTACGGATTCTTCTAAGATTTTTATGGTTTCCTGTCTTACGTTTAAGTCCTTTATCCATTCTGAGCTTATTTCTGTGAATGGTGTAAGTTGGTGGTCTAGTTTCATTTTTTTCCATGTATCTGTCCCAATACCATTGAAGAGACTCTTGACTCCATTGCATGCTCTTGCCTCCTTTGTCAAATATTAATTGAGCGTAATGGCTTGGGTCAAATTCTGGGTCCTCTGTTCTGTTCCATTGGTCTCTGTCTGTTATTGTGCCAGTATAAGGCAGTTCTGAGAACAGTGGCTTTGTAATATAGCTTTATATCTGGTATTGTGATCCCTCCAACTTTGTTCTTTCTCAGGATTACTGCAGCTATTCGGGGTCTTTTTTTATTTCATATGAATTTTTGGAGAGTTTGTTTTAGGTCTTTAAAATATGCCATTGGTATTTTAATGGGGATTGCATGGAATCTAAAAAAAACCATAAAACTATGGTACATTTACACAATGGAATACTATGCTGCTGTGAAAAAGAAGGAACTCTGACCATTTGCAGCAGCATGGATGGACCTGGAGAGCATTATGCTAAGTGAAATAAGCCAGTCAGAGAAAGATAAATATCACATGATCTCACTCATTTGTGGAATATAATGAACATAAATTGATGAATTAAAATAGATCCAGAGACATAGAAGCATCAAACAGACCATCCAACTTCATTGGCAGGCGGTGGGGAGGGTGAGAGATCAACCAAAGGACTTGAATGCATAACCCATGAACATAGGCAGTAGGGGAGTGAGGGCATGTGCTGGGGGGTGGGAGTGGCCAGGGAGAGGTCAATGGGGGGAAAAGGAGACATATGTAATACCAGGTGTACCGGTTAATAATGCGGATTTTTTTCAATAGATGGAGTTATACATATGTTGATATATATATGATTTGATATCTATGCTATTTTGCTGTATTAACAGCAAGCTTCAAAACTTCATATGTCAAATTTGCTGAAGGTGTTAACATCATAGATATTTTTATGCTTAAAAATGTCGAATTTCGTGCCAAAAAAAGAGCATTTGTGGGAAGTTTTAATTCATTATTTTAAAGAAAAGTGCTGCTGAAAGTTATTGTATACTTCGGGAAGCTTATGGCGAACATGCTCCATTTTAAGATACTTGTGAATGCTGGTTTAAACACTTTAAAAGTGGTGCTTTCGATGTGAAAGACAAAGAACATCCAGGTCAACTGAAAAAGTTTGAAGACCAACAATTACAAGCATTATTGGATGAAGTTGCGTGTCAAACTCAAAAACAACTTGCAGAAAGATTAAACGTTGCTCAGCAAACAATTTCCAATGGTTTACAAGAAATGGGAACGATTTTAAAGGAAGGAAAATGGGTGCCACATAAACTGAACAAAAGACAAACAGAAAACAGAAAAGTCACCAGTAAAATGTTGTTTCAGCGGCAGGAAAGAAAGTCTTTTTGCATCAAATTGTGACTGGCAATGAAAAGTGGATTTATTTTGAGAATCCCAAATACACAGTCATGGGTTGATCCAGGTCAACCATCAACATCCACTGCAAGGCCAAATCGCTTCAGAAAGAAGACAATGCTCTGCGTTTGGTGGGATCAGGAAGGTGTGGTGTATTATGAGCTTCTCAAACCAAGTGAAAGAGTTAATACTGATAGCCACTGACAACAAATAATCAATCTGAACCATGCTTTGATCATAAAGCGACCAGAATGTTCCAGAAGACATGGCAAAGTAATTTTGCTTCATGATAACACACCATCACACACTTCAAAACCAGTTAAAGACACGTTAAGACCTTGCCTGGGAAATATTAACCCACCCGCTGTATTCACCAGACCTTGCTCTTTCAGATTACCACTTGTTCTGATCAATGGCACACGCACTTTCTGATCAGCCCTTCAAAACGTACGAAGTGGAAAATTGGGTCTCTGAATGGTTTGCCTCAAAACAAGAAAAGTTCTATTGGGACGGTATCCACAAATTACCTGAAAGATGGGGGAAATGTGTAGCTAGTGATGGACATTACTTTGAATAAAGCACTTTTGATGTTTCTCTTGAAATTATCGTGTTTTCTTTGATTATGAAATCTGCATTATTAACCGGTACACCTGTATTTTAAACAATAAAGAATTTAAAAAATAAAAATAAAATACTTTGCCCATTTTGCTATGTTTGATGCCTATAATTCCATTAAAATATAATTTGAGTCTTAAACAACTTAGTTTATTGTTTTCTTTCCAACTATGAAATTCTTCAAGATAAGTATTTGGTAAATGGAGAAAAAGATTGAAAGCAAAAAAATTATCTGAGAATGGCTGTCAATGGATTAGTCTTTCAACACTAGAAAAATGGAATCATGAAAGATTATATAGACCCCAAAGGATAAGTAGGACCTGCTGCACACACACACAGGAAAATCAATCCTCTCACAATTGTCCCTAGGCCATTACAGAATCCCACACAGCTATACTACATTAAAGTTGTATTTGAAGGTATAGCAGAAATCAGCGCTAATGTGTGCATGCAAAAAAACCTCTGTGATTGTTTGTCAGGGCCACCGATACAGTGCTGTTTAAAAAGAATCTGATAGTTCTTCATAGCTTCAAACCAAGCATGAATCAAATGAACAGCATAGAAGAATCTAGTATAAGACAAAAGATTATTTTTCAACTGTACCTTATGTAGACCAAGAAATATACATCATTAATTTATTGTAGTTATGTATCCATTTTCCTTCCTAATATAGGTTATTTGTACCATCTCTTTTTGTTCTTGAAAAATTCTGTCAGTCTTAACTAGTTTTTATTTTATTGATCTTCTTTGTTTATATTTTATTTTACTAATCTCTGCATTTGCTTATTATTTTCTACTTTCTTGCTTTGATTCTGTTGTTCTTATTCTAACTCCCTAAGTTCAATGTTTACCTCATTATTTTTTATCTTTCTTGTTTTCCCTTAGATATATGTAAAGTTTAAAAAGTCTAAGAACTTCTATAACTGTGTCCCACAAATTTGTACTATAATGCATTTACTGATAGCCAGTTCTAAACTCATAGTTTACATTATTATTTATTTTTTGACTCACAATTATTTCAAATTTAGTCTCCTGGTTTTCCAAGATAGGACTAGGAGCTTTCTTTCCTTATCTATTTTATAAATTTATATAATTTATAGGGGTTTTCTCTGAGCCTAATATATGGTTTATTTTTATAAATAATTCATATCCTATTGGAAAGAATGTATATTCTATTTGTTTTGAAGGTCTATATTGACCAATAAATTGAGTTTTAAATTTGTTATTAAAACCATTACCACTTTTTGCTTAGTTTGAATTTATTAACTTTTGAGCAAGGTGCTTAATTATTCAAATATGATGGATTTAAAAATGTCTTATTATTCTGTACATTTGCTTTATATATTTGAGACATCTTATATGCTACAGTCTCAGAAATGTTTTATCTTTCTGGTGAATTGAAGCTTTATGATTAAATACATACTCTATTAATACTAATAATTATTTTCTTAAGGTATGTTTTTTTTATTGTTTTAATACTTGTGCCAGATTACTTTTCGTAATTATTTTGTGATATTTCTTCTTCTATCTTTATACATTCAATCATGTTGTTTTTAAGTGAATGTGCTGTGCATAAACTTTGTTTGAAAATCTTTGTATTTTAATTAGTCTTACTAATAATATAAATAAATTGTGCTGATGGTCTCTGGAGTATTTGGATTGTTTCTACCATATTATTTGAACTTTGCATTTACCATGCTTTTTAAAAAAATATATTTTTGCCACTGTTTCTTCCTTCTAATGGGAAGATAATTTTTCTTTCTTCCCTTTTTTTCTTAACTAATTTAGAAATTTATGTGTTCTATTTTTATACTTTT